AGCTGTTTCCTGAGCACCGTGGAGCAGAGAAGAGGGATCCCATTCCACAGGCTGATGGCAAACCCCGTCCCAAGGCCACCCAGGATGCTGTTGGATGCCATTTCCACCAGGGCTCAAGGCTGTGTCCTGGTGCCCCCCAGGACCCACGTCCTCTGGTGCAAAGCTCTGTGGCTGCCCCTCAGCCCCAGCCCAGGGTGGGGCAGGAGTTTGTCCCTCCAGCCCTGCAGGACTTTGCACAAGGGGGTTAAACACTGCTGGCCCCAGCCTGGAGCCTGTGGAGCCCCAGCGGGGAGTGTCTGCCAGCTGGACTTTGTGTCCCTCCTGCCAGCCCCTGGAGACCTGCAGCCATGCCCTGTTTCAGAAGTCAGGATGCTCGTTGTCTTTCTCCCAGTGCTCAGCTGCATTCCCTGAGTGCCAGCACTTCCAAAGGGGAGCTCAGGGAGGCCTCTCCCTGACACCAGCACTCGTGTGCCCATCACCAGGTCACACACACTCATGTTGGCCAGGCTGTTTAAAGGTTCCCACACCTGAGCCTGCTCTGCTCTGGAAGTCTTCCCTGCTCCACACCTTGTGAGGAATAGCAGGAGCCTGACCCTGAGACAGCAAATCTTGCCAGTAAAGACCATGGCCCAGCAGCCCTGGAGTACCTGCCCCTTTCCTCCAAGCCCTGCACGCAGTGAAGCTGCCCCAGGCAGCCCTGGCTCAAGCCTCCCTTTGGCTGCTGCCCTGTGGGGAAGATCTTGTTTCCCTCCGCAGGCTTTGCTGATTCAACTCCAGGTGGGCTTTGGCTTCCTGACCCAAGCCTGGAACACTCAGACAGCCTGGCAAAGGTTCTCTGTGAACCAAGGGCGTGAGGAGGGAGGGAGAGGAAAGCATTTGCCTGGAGCAGCAGTGGCCAGTGAGCACTGGAGTGAGCTGAGAGGGAGGAGAGAGAAGCCCGTGGGATGTGCTGTGGGAAGAGGAGCCTTTGGGTGCTCTGCTGCTCTGGGCAGTGCAGGGCAGGGCTGGGCCTCTCCCTGCAGGTCAGTGCCCTGAGCCAACATCCCCTGCCTGCACGGGACCCTCCAGCACGTGGGGGCACATCTTCTGCCTGCAGGGACACATTCTGATCCAGGGGATCCTTAGGCCTGTCAAGGCAGCACATGAAAAAAGCTGCAGCACAGAGCAAGCCCATCAGAAATGAGGAAATGAGGTGGCAGCATTGCTGGAAACCAGAACACCCTGTGGCATTAGGTGGGATGCTTTGCTTTGGAGATGAATGTGCTGGAAAATTGCTGTCCTTGTGCCGTGACTGTGGGCCTGGGGCAGGGCAGGAGCAGCATAAAAGCAGGACCTTCTCCTCACTCTCACATTCACTCCACTCGCTTCCAGCTCCTTGGGATCCAGGTGAATCTGAAGCCCTTTCTTTTCCTCCTCCTTTGGAGTTTCTAAGTCTATCCTGTCCTTTTGGTCTCATTTGGGTTCTGAGAACTGCCTGTCATGGGAGAGGGAAGGGGGCAGAAGGTGTGCCCGGGGAGAGGCTGGGTTTTGGCTGAGGTGTCTCCTGAGCCATAGTCCACACGGAGAAGTCCCTGAGCTTGGTCTCTCGTGGGGCTTCAGGGGCTGAGGGGAAAGTGATGCTGGTGGGCCTCTCTAAGCAGCCTCGTGCTCTCTTCTCCTTCTTTTGTCTTTTTTTCGTCATGGTGGGCCAAGAGACTCCCCTCACTCACCCCTGTGCTCTGCCTCCCCCACCCTCTGTCCCAGGTGCAGCTCCAGCCCCAGACATGTCCTGCTACACCCCGTGCCTGCCCTGCCAGCCCTGCGGCCCGACCCCGCTGGCCAACAG